ATTTTTTCATAAGATCAATACAAATATTGTATTTGAATATATATATATATTTATTTCAGTGCCGAAAAAAAACATCTAAATTTATAGCACTTTTTCATTTAGTATTATTTGCTTGTTTTTTTTGTTTCTTTCTGTATTTAGTATTTGTATAATTTACCTAACTTATTATTTTGTTTATTTTTTCCTTTTGTTTTGCTTTTTTCTCTGTTTTTTATATTATTCAATTTCCATCAATTTAATGAATGTCCGTTGCGCTAATATCAATTAATTATTATTTAAGTACTAGCTAAAAAATATTTGTCATATATTTATGGATATATTAAATCGTAGGTTTTTATTGGGGTTTACACGATAAGCGCATCGTCTGCGCATAAACCATCTCTACCAGCTGGGATTGTGCTCAAGGAAAACTGGTTACGATTCGTTAGATGAGAACCCAAAAAATAGAATACTACAAATATATACATATGTGTGTATATATACTATGTTGTTAATGAAAATAAAGGCAATCAAACTATTCTGGCAGTTTTGGTGGCTATTCGCGATTGCATCATTGTATAATGCGAAAGCTAGAGTACGAATGCTGGCCAGGGTTGCCAGACCAGATGTAAATGAAGACATGCAACAGGCTGAGCAGAGACGTAGGCGTAATTCATTTTGGTAGGCGGTTAGAAAGTGGTATATAAAGATGCTATCAAGATAACCCCAATGGCCAGACTTCAGACTTGGTATATATATATAGTTATATTTGAGAGTTGCCACACCCACCGCCTAGTTGAAGTGTTGAGCTAGAACCAAATATTTCGAATTATAGTTGAGTCTGAGCTAGATTCTAGGTAACAACTACATAATACACAATACTTAGGATATATTATAGTTACAGTTACGGTTACAGTTACGGCTACAGTTACAGTTTAAAAGATACTGCATTGCAACAGACTTCTCATGAATCATCATAACATTATCAAGATCACATCAAATTTGTCAGCGATTAACTTCGAAAGGCTGTTGCGTCTGTCAGAAATGGGGCGAGGCAGGAACTAAGGGAGGGCAGGGGACGAATATATCTATGTGTATATGCATATATATGCAATAGGATGTGTTGTCTCTGGTAGCTTTCAGATACATATATATATATAAAGAAACACAAATAGAAATAGATATTATGTT